GGCGTACGAACATATGCGGTAGCAGATAAAAAAATACCCCCTCCTGAAACACTTCGCAATGGGCAACAGGTGGTTGTGACAAACGAAATAATGCAAAATGCATTTGGCGTTGCAGGTGCTCTAAATACTATGAAGCCGTAGCTTGCTTAAACGGTCCCTTTGGCAACTAGGAGCAACGGTGCGATACAGTGACGGCGCGAAACTGCTACTAGAGGTGTCATGTGTTATGCGATGTCATTTTATTATAATTCCTTTTGTCACTTTGTTGAAAAGCGATGTGTTGTGCTCGAATTTAAGCAAATAAGTTATTGTTGCTAATGAAAAATAATCGATAACCTTCAGTGCTCAATAAGCAAAACCCTAAAGCTTGTAGAGGTTAGCTCCAGATAACATCGGAAACCAGGGGACTATACGTCGCTGTGCGATTAATCTTCGGAGATGATTTCAGTGATCGCCCCCTTATGCTAAGTCTCACTAGAACAGAAGAAATGCAAAACAGCTGCAATATTTCACAATGAACAGGAACCTGTTGTTTAACAACTTCTGCCATTGGCTTTAGTGCAACAAGGTTCATCGACGAACTGACGATCTAAACAGCCGCAGCGAATTCCCTACCACGAATCAGTAGTGTCCGCAACTTAGGAAGAAATATCCTTACCAGAGCCTAATTGAACTTATCATGTCTAGAAACATGACAAGTTCCAGGCCACTTCGCTTAATAAACCACTTCCTTACGTTAATCGTCATCCATCACAAGATCGACGATGGCAGGACACTTTTCACGAGTAACACGATGTCATTCAGCTGAGTAATTAAGTAAGACGCTGATTCGTCAAGTCAGACGAGTTGCGGCCCACTCTCCCCTATGGGAGATTTTTGTCCACGCAATGACCCACCAATGTATTCCTTGTAGACGCAACGGTCTCGCGCTGACTGTGCCTATCTTAAAATTGGAAGTCATGCAAATTATGACGCGTAATGCAGTCACTACAACTGCTGGATGATTCCTAAATAAATTCCAAGAGAGTAAGAACTGTTGGTCTAAGACTTCATGTAACCTTAAGGGCTATGATTCTTCTTCTCGGCGTGGAGAGCAGCAAAAATAAGGTATGGCTTTCCAGCGCGAGTACGGTGAAGTACAATCTCTTCAGCAGGCAAGACCACGCAAAACTTTTTTAAGAACTACAAGGCGGGCGACTGTGGTAACTAGGAATGGGAAATCTCTCCTCATGTACCGCAGATTTGTTTGGAAGGGAACACCCTGACTATAAACCCTGTCCCAAAGGCTTAGGAAGCTCTCCGTATTATTTCATAAATCAGCAACCAAACAAAATCTTTTCACAATGCCGTCTATCTTTGCAACAGATGATTAGAACTTTAAATCCTAGAGCGCGAACGGATAATCCTAGAGATGCTGAACGGTTAACATCCAGAAACAGACTGAAATGGGCATCATTATATGACTGCACAAAAGTAAGAAAGGTGACACGAAATTGTGCACTGCGATATCAACCCCCTGGGCAATGCGGAAAATTCATTGCCATCGAGTCAAATCAAGTTTCCATCCTCAAATCTCGCTTTGTTATCAACGCTGGATACCGACGATGATGTCATGGACACATCCGCGAAGCGATTATGGATACAAATGACAGAAACACAATTCCTTAGAATGACTGTTGGTGGGAAGAGGTTGGTCTAGGTCCGCGATGCGCCAACATATTCTTCATCCAGAGCCGCTTATCGAAATCAGCAAATAACAATTGTGATCAACTGGACCGTAGGTAAGACGAAAAGATGTCGAACTCACTGGTCAGCAGCCATGAAATGTTATTCAACTTTAAGCAGTCATTTAAGAAAACAACCTGCATTGGGATAGGTATATCCTTCGGCAAATCCTCCACCCAAAGAGGTTTATCCAAAACACTGTACGTAACAACGTTCCCTGCCCTTGGTTGCATCAACGGAGAGGTGGCCAAATCAAGATCTGGTTGGACACAATAAATTTTAACCTTGAAAAGAGCTTGGGACCGACGGCCAACAGATTACGAAGATTTAAGACCGAATGACTCTGTTGAAGGACCTTGCGCTTGACCGCGTGGAGTGGAAAGAAAAAATATGCGACATCTGAGTCAGTCATGAAAACAGGCGTAACAATATCAATTAAAAATAGTCAACTAGGTTGCAATAAATTCCGTGCGTTGCTTCGCCTTGAAACTCTGACCGTAACGTTTGCCCGGTTGACGGAGGACTGAAAACAATAGGAAGCTTCCTGAAGTTACTATCTTGGTAGCCGAAAAGAACTGCGGGCAACGCAATGCAAAGAATGAATGAATAATGAATCCTAAATTACACCTTGGAGTACGTTGCCTTCAGTTTCAGGTAGGCCATGGATGTTTCTGGAAATTGCCTAACGCAGATCCAGCAAGTGAAACACTAGCATATTATTGTACTGCAGCTGCAGTATTAGCAACACGCGACTATCCGCAAACAGCTTCGTAACCACAACTGTTGCAGGAACTAAACTGTTTCTAGGAGAATTCAACACTCGCAAATAAAACATTGGTTCCATCCTACATGACATGGAAAAAATCAACAACAAATTAAGAAATCAGTCAAAAATGTCACTCAATTGGAGAGGTGATGGTGTACTGTGTGATAAAACGTCCATCAAACTAAAGAGGGAAGGTGTACAGAATCAGAGTAAGGCAGATACTTCTGTACGGAGCGGAAGGTTTTGCTCACTTGAAAAGATACGGTCAACAGCTGAACTAAGTAAAAATGCGAATGCTCAGATGGATGGGACGTGTCACTAAAAAAAGATCACATCCGGAACACCTTCATAAGAGGCACTTTGACTGCAACACCAGTTTCAGAAAAGCTACTCGAAAGCAGGCTCCGCTGGTTTGTCCATGTGGAAAGTAGAACCGACGAGTACGTTAGAAATGTAGACTAAGCAATGACACTGCCAGGAAAGAAAAGAATGGTAAGATGAAAAGAAAGGATGCGCAATGTTGGAAAGTACAATATACAGTACTGCGAGGAG